AGATAGGAGTAAGTTAAAAAGATAAAATTTCTTTGAGCGGAGGATTGAAGGGAAGGTAAAGCACAAGATAAGTATAAAATGGGAAGTTCCAGACACATTTACGATGCCTCTAATAAAACATGCTAAAAGCATGCTAACTCTACGTTAACCCGATAAACTCGGGATCAAGTACATACAGTCACCTGCCGATCAACTAGCTTTGATCTCACTTACCATGCTCTCTGCTAACTCTATAGTGGAACCTGCCCAATATCATTTTTGATTTTTTGGAATAAAGTTCTACTCCTGTACTGCATTCAATGATGAGCATACTGTCGATAAGCAAGCATCGACAAGGAATACAGCAGTCAACTTAAAGCAGGCATTCGGTTTCGCCGCTGAATTGTGAAGTCAAAGAAATAAGCTACAAATGGTTCACTCTATCCACTAAGTCGCGCAAAAGTTCATAGGATAGCTATGTACATCAAGGGGGTACCAAGCCAGAACTGACGCGAAAAGCTGGGCCTAAATCGTAAAAGAAAAAAGCACAGAGGACAGTTAGAAGGTGAAGATGGATGTTGGAAGACTGTGTTGCGAATCAGCGCTTTTTAGCCGTTCGTTCGATTGCGCAGCGCGTTCGCGGACGACCTTCATTCAGCGAAAAACCTTGAACAACGCTATATAGTTAACGTGTCCTATTAAAATACGAGCACAGCGCAGCAGCGAACGAACGAACGCGTAGATAGGTCGAATTCAGCATGGAGCGAGGTCAACCGTCGTGAAACGAACAGCACATGTAAAACTGCAGTCAATGGTCCCAGTCAGACGTTGCATTCTCATCTTCCGATTCATGAATGATGGAGTGTACTTTGATGTTTCTAAATCTTGAGAGAAATCCGCACTGGCTACCAGAATGATTCTTCATATCTAATCATAGATAACCTACAGAAACTATACAACTACGCCAAATTTTCTCACGGGAACAAATTGCTGCTTTGTGGAAACGGCAAATTTATGACTTATTCGTTTTCTTATGAACGAAAAGCCGATAGTAGACGGCAAGTCATTACCAAACCCGCAATAGCCTCCCCATGTAATACTCTGACAAGAATTGTGCTTCAGTCAGAGAAAATGCGGACGGAAAGAAAACGAGAAACACTTCGACTCAAACCACATTTCCTCATAGACATAGAGCTCCAATGTAAAATTGAGTCCGGAAACAAAAAAAATTATTTGCTTAACACATCTGCTTGTCGAAAAAGAGATAGTCGCAAAAAGGAAGTAAGTGAAAGGCAACGAATGAAACACCCTCGTCACTGTAAGAGCTTCGGGCTGACCATCGATAAAGGCAGGCAAAAGGGACGAGGCGGGCAAACAGGGCTGCCGAACTGGGAACACAGCCGGGCGGCCGAACGCAAGCGGCTCAACAACCAAGGCGATGCCAGAGGTCTATGAAACTACCGTATACTTCTAGGATGTTATTCCGCGTTCAGACAAAAACAACTCACCATGGAGCAACGTAGTGAGGGGAAAAACACACGCACGCACCACATACATGCTCCACAATAACAACGCAGCTGAAAGGATCGGAGAACAGCTCGAGGGAAGTAGGGGTACGAGAAGAGAGGTTGGTGAAGACCATGGCTGAGTTAGAGTCGCAGTGCCAACATTCGGTTGAAAACACCAGACGAAATTAACCAACGAAGGTATGTTTTCACGTTCAGCCAGCCGTCGTGTTCCTGCAGGTCCAGGAAGTTCCGGCGTTGTTCAACCTTCATTGTATTACTACGTTTAAGAAATGGATCACGGAGGCAAACCTCACTGGATCGAGATTTCTTCGGAATCTCCCCAAAAAAGTTGCGTTCAGTTCAAAGGAAGCGACTCAGAAGATAAGCTGACACTGGCAAAAGCTATGATCCCCCCTTCGGATTACATGAGGCTGTGGACAGTAGAATCCTCTTAGCGAAAATGAAGTAGCATGAACTGCTGCACCCCACTAGACGCAAAATCTTGCCGCTCAAAGTTCATGCACTTAATCCAAGCAGAGGAAAAAGTAGAGAAAAAAGTGCGAGCACTTCGAAAACGTATGAAATAAGTTAGACAACACCTTTCACTTGGTGGGATAAGGCTCGGACTGATCACTTTGTGTAACCATGATTAAGCACAATATAAATTTTTTTGCTCTATCATTGTGGGAGTAAAGAACAATTCAAAAGCGCACTGGCATTGGCAAGTCGGGGCGCCGACCCCCATGAATACGCAGAAAAAATGGTATGGTGAGGGCATATACTGGGCTGAGGCAAAAAACGGTCACGCCCCCGTTC